ACCCCGATTGCGATGGAGCACACGAAGAAGTGCTTTTACGCCGCGCCGTACGGCCTCTTTAACTGTACTCCCATCTCGATAGATCACGTTTTATTGAATTTTTCTTCTTGGGCCGACCTCTCGGATTTTCCTTCACTGCAGGTTCTGTGTATCCCTGTTGATCAGGGTGAAGTTGAGAGTCGATGAGATGGTTCAGGTACCGTACAGTTGCAGGATCGGCCGCTTCAACCTCCTCGGCAAGCCTCCGAAAATAATCATGATCAGTCCATTCACTCGCCGATGCACTCTGCTGACCTGTCCGTATCGAAAATTTAAAGAATTATACAATATGCTCTATCAAAATTTCTATAAATGAAACAATACGTGGAGTTAAAAAAAAATATTAAACAAAATTTAGGAGAAAAAAAAGCTGAGCATGATGTTCTATAGATTTATTAATCTCGCAATTATACCTGACTGCGTCACCTCTAGTGTGCTCCAGAAGTTGTGGATGTCGTCGGTCGTAATATCTCTACGTACAGTGTGTGCCTCCCTTAGCTCACAGGCACAAGGAAGTCCATGAGTGTATTTTAGTGCACAATTGCAGTGCTCCGAAACATCTTTGCCGAAGTCTCGCATGTTCTGAAGCTCATCATTCAATATATCCATACAGTAATGGGAGACCCGCAGTGTCAACTGCTCGATAGGGAATCCCCTGTAGCCCGTACTCAGCCTAAGTCTCAAAGACTCCAGCGTCTCCCTGGTAATACATTACATAACATTAGACCCAATTAAAATTTATAATTAATGCATTAATAACACAGTCCTACTGTATAAATTAAAGAATATACCTGACTTTAGTCAATTGAGAATCAATCTCCTTGTCAATCTTCTCCCAAACCGTGTCGAGCGAACTGGTCGACGTGTTTGTATTTGTCCCACGTGTTTGCCTAGACAACCTTCTTCCACTTGCCGTGCGTGAACTTCTGCGCGAAGATCTTATTTTTATTTGTGCTTGTCAACGTTAATCGATAGACCCTGTCTTCCACATCCTTGTTGATGTGCCACATGCAGAGTAAGTGGGGCGTCGTCGGAAAATTTCTCTGAATAGGAGTAATCAACCCCAACTCTCTGTCACTGACAATGACTGAAGGATGTAAATCAGGCCCTATCAGAAGTCTCAACCGCTGTAGGACCCAGTCATAGCTGTACTCGGTCTCGTCCTTGATAATTGCATAAGCAATTAAGAAATTCTTGTTGTCCGGCTTCATTCCAACCATCTCAACCAACGGCATGTGGTACCTGTGCAAATGAAAGCAGCAAGAGGAAAAAACATAGAATCATAAAACTTACTCAAACATACTATTTTAAGATTCACATTATATCACTATTTATAACGTAATGTAACGTACCTGTTGGTTTTGTACGTGGAATCTATACCGACATACCAGTAATATGTCCGGAATAGACTGGCTGCTCCTGGATGCGGCATGAACACACGTATCAACTCCTGTGTGTCCGGGTCAACATCTGTATAAACTATGTACTTGCTGCCCCTAGCCAAATCCAGAAGCTGGCCAACAACATCTCTACCCTCTAGACGGTCTTTTCGCAATTGACCTCTATAGTTATACACTTGTCGGCAAGTAGCGTTGTCGACAGGGTTTTTCTCCTAAATTGCAGCCAAAATTGCTCCCGGTCTTGCCTGAGCATCAGTCATATCACGGACAATCTCTTTGGATGAATCGCTGAGTCAGCTCATCTGTCGATGACCCTCGGGATGCACAGCCAAAGCATGATTATGAAATCCCTTCTCGTCTTCTAAAGGAAGCCAGATACTCCATTTTTTGGAATTTGCTTCAAATTTGACTTTATCAGAAAAGGGCAGCCAATAAATTTAATCTTCGAACGTCTCAAAACAACATTCACAAGATTTCCTAGTTTTCCTGCCTTGCCTCTGTAACGTTCCCCTCGATGACACCTCAACGTTCGGACCGATCCATCTTTTTCGTGTCTCGAGATGACCAATTCGAAATTCCATATCATTGCAATGTCTTTTGCCCATTCAATAGCTTCCTCATGACTATCAAATAGCTCATCTGTAGCAAAACAAGATCGGTAATCTTCGCCGTCTCCTCCAAAATCTTCGAGTGGCACCTGCAATATGTTACGATGTATGTTAATAATTTTACAAAATAATGAATTATAACTTCTCTCAAAATAATAATAGTAATTTGTAATTTATTATATAATCAATTCTAACTTCTAACGTAATATCAATAAAATTTACGTTATAAGATAATACATTCATATATATTAGTTATTTATACTAATATAAATTTTTCCTATTACATAATTTTGTACTATTAATTTAATACTAAATACTAATACTTTTTTTATAAATACTTTCTATTAGTATATATAAAAAAATTAATATATTAGTATAAAAAAAATTATTATTATATTACTAATAGAATTTTTAATATATATTATTATATATTAATATAATTTTTTTATATTAGAATTATGCCCCTAGCCATAATTTTTTTATATACTAATATAATTTTTAATTACTAATAGAATTTTTAATATATATTATTATAAATTATATTAGTATATAAAAAAATTATATTAGTAATTACTATTATAATTTACAATAATTACACTAATTCTAATTATATATTAATTATAATTTTTTTT